ATTACAACATATAAATTATATTTTATAGTAATAAATATAAAATAACAATACGTGGTTGTATATAATATTAATATGTGCAATTGATAATTTAATTTATTGTATGTTACTTAAAAATCTATAAATATATATATAGACAAATAATAGTTTTTCAAGTGCCATCTAAAATCTTATGCGTGCCAACCTTGGCACGCATGCCACTTATTTGCCACCCCTGTATTAAATGGATAGAAAAAATAATAGTCAGTGATAATCCACCACGTGAAACATTAAATATTGTTTGTAACACTTACAACTTTAATTAAAAGCATTTGAATACCGAAATTGAAGTTTATAATAGAATGTTTAAGTTGAAGTACTCTAACATAGAAACAGCTAATATTATTGTAAAAAAAATATAATTTATTTAAAATGATGATTTTCAAAATGGATTTTCTATTTTAACATCAATTATTCGTATTTTTCTTACTAAGCCCACTACAAATGCCAGTTGTACAAGATCATTTTCATGTTTGAAAAGATTAAATACTTATCTGAGGACCATAATGGGTCAAGAACGATTAAATAATCTTGGAACATTACAAATTGAAAAAAAAAGAATTATCAATATGGAAGAAGTCTTTGATCAATTCAAAAGTAATTCCTATGTGAGTAGCCGAAATTCAGGTTAAAATAAAAATAAAAATATTGTAAATTATAATATAAATAAATAATAACATCAGTTGAATGTACTTATTTATTTAGTTTTAATGCTTTTTTTTTTTTTATTATAAAATAAAAATGAAATCCCCCTCCTGGTTTAAGATCAGGGGAGGAAAGAGGTGTTTGCATAATGCATATTTAAATATCCATAATCACATAAAAATAATTACGGCACCAAATCACGCCACCAGTAAGATGTGTACATCGGCCGATCAATTTTTTGCCACATATCCGTCACGAACTTGTTTGCGCACCGATAATAATGATTTGGTAACAATAAACGAACTACTGAAATAAAAAAATTAATTGTTTCCATTATTAAAGTAACGTTTACATTTGACGAAATTGCACATAGTCCGGTAGCATTTCGTTCGTTTTCGAAAAAAAAAAATCCAAGGGATAACTTTATCAAATTACTATCTGCGACTACCAATTTCCGCGCTGCGGGGATGCATTCTACGTTACAGTAAACAATAATGAAAATGAGCAGCAACAGCGGTCGTAGACGCCCAGGCGAAAATGTTTTATACGTTCGGTACACGCGGTCGGAGTGTACGATCGTCGGGTCCGCGTTGCCCCCTGGTGCAAATTGAACCCACGCAACGCCACTATGCGCATAAAGAGAACGGTTTTAAAGACCAATGGTACCTTTTATCCGTTCACGGATTTCGCGTACATGTTTTAAACGTTGTACATATGAACGTGATGTTACACGCATGGGACGTATACAGCGAACGTAATTTTATCCGGGACCAGGACGTTTTTTTCGTTAAGGTACGAGCGCCGCGAGGAGCGTTCGACAACGGGGAGTAGAGGAGAAGGAACAGGGATTTTCCACGGTCGTCGTTTCGCGGTAAAAATCATGAAATACCGCGTGACGTGATAGAAACAAGGAACGCCACCCGTTTTCGGGATCCGAGGATTCGTCTCGGAGCGGATTCCCGAGAACGCGGAGACAAAAAGGATTTTCGGCGAAACGTAACGTTTAACGTCGGTTCTCCGCGGGACGGTGATCGAAAGGGACGCGGTGCAGTGGAAATCCGACGGAACACGAAGAACACGATACGAAATAGCCGAACGGCGAAAACAAAGATAAAAAAAAATAAAAAGAATTTGCAGACGTTTATTGTGTTTCGCCGGGCGTACATTATTAGATTTATCGGTTTATTCGGTTTAGTGTACGCAGTGTTAGCACTACGCGGTTGTCTTCGAGACGAAGCACTCCGACACTCGTCTTGCGAGTCCGTTGCGTTTTCCACCAATAGTTCACGTGTGGTTGACTGAATCCCACGTTTATATATATATATATAAATATACCAAACGTACATACCAATAGGCACATAGTTTTGTTCACGCTTTCGGTCCCGTGTACGGATCGACTTTATCGTCTCCCGGAGATGTGTTTCTGTTTTCTTTTAACTCAGGACAGCAAATGCACGCGGTCGTCGCACATTATACCGTTTTAGATACTAAATTAACGTGATCAAAACTCGAAGAATAATTCAAGTTTATGCGTTATTTTCAACGATACTGTTTCGTTTTCTATACAGGAACGTGTAATCGTAATGACACGGATACATCGTACAATGTATGAACTAGGGATGGGCAAAATTGTTTGAACATCGATATTCGATGTATCAATACATCGATTTTTAAATCATCAATATGTTCCATGTATCGGTGAAAAACCATCGATGTTTAATATTCATATTTTTTTAGTACATATACTCACAAATATATTTACCAATACACCACTGATTAAAGGTAATATATATATATATAATAAATTTAAAATATGTTATGTTATTTTACATAGTATTGATTGCAAAATACTACATTTGAAAACGTTTTAAATTTTTTAAACGTTTAAATTTGTATAACGTTTAAACGCTCAAATTTAATAACGTTTAAATTATTTATAGCGTTAAACGCTCAATTGCTTATAACGTTTAAATGTCCCATAACGGTAAACAATATATATTATTTTTATTTAAGTCCTGGTCCATACTTAGTGAAAAATCAAATAAAACACTAGTGAAACTTTTAAAACACAGACAGGTGTTAAAAAAGAACTGCACAAAAGTCCATTCTAAGTGGATCCTGCATTAGATTAAAAAAAAAAAAAAAAACACAAATATTAAGGATTCGCCTGATTTAAATATTACCAAAAATTTTACTTGTAAATTTTGAGCCTGAATTAAAGAAAAATTTGAGTCCCCCCCCCCACCCCTAGAAGTAAGTCTAAATATGCCCCTGAGTGTACACAATATACCTCAATACGCATCGACCTGTACATGTCATCCAACATAGTAAAAATACTTAGCGAAAACCAAACTCTGAAAATTTTCACATTCTTAAGCATCACAAATAGTATTAATAAATCTTTATTTTACTCCAAACTTCACTTATATAATATGTCATGTGTAACATTGTAGTTTTAAATATAACACAAATAATATGTAACATCTAATAGCTAATAATATTTGTTGTTGAAGCCTGAATTTTCAAAACATAAAAAAAGGATGAACAATCAAATGAAGTAATCGTATAGCCATATCGTTAGTACTCATTTATAATTCATATATTTATAAACTGCTTTGTTTAAAATTGAGCCGTGGTGAAGGTATTTCGTCTGAAACCAATCCGGGACAAATATCACACTAATTTTTTTTTTTTGGGGGAAGGTATTATAACACAAAAATATATAGGTACTCATTAACTAAATATATACTTTTTTCAGTATTATTATATGAATTTTTTTTGTATCATTACTTATAATAAAAATTAAATATTACCTAGATACCTAGAAAAATGTATAGGTATATATATATATATATATATATATATTAATTTATTCAGTTATAAAAGCACTTCTACAATGACATACATTAAGCAATTTTAACTTTTTTATTTGGTTTTCATGTCTAACAAATTTAACATAGGTCACGAAAAAATATTTGGTAAGAAAAGTGGGTCGCGGGTCAAAAAGGTTAAAGACCACTGATCTACATGATACACAGGGCCGAAACTACGGGGTGGAAGACGGGGATTCATCCCCGGGCGTAACATTTTAGAGGGTGTAATTTTCGTAATTATTAACAACTAATTTGATATTTTTAATTTCGTTAAATACTGATATTAGGTTAAAACTCAATAAGTACGATTGTATATTGATTATAAGAACACAATTTATTTGAGTATTTGTTTATTAGTCTATGGATAGGGCGTAATTTTAACATTTTACCCGGGCGTAAAAATTCATAGTTCCATCTCTGATGATACACTCACTGGCATTTCGAAATGAATGGAAACTAATCGGTGCACAAAATGTTTGCTTTTCACCAACTCTCTCTAATGCTCACACACAACGAACCCTTACCTTAATCTGATACAGTTTTGATAGATGAACGTCTAGGACTAGTCTTTGACAGACGAATGATATTATTATACTCAAAATATTTTAACCAATTCTATCCTTGGAAACTCTCCCAGAAGACTCGAGCAAAAATAGTTCTGGAACCTATTCTAATAATGTTAACACCAACCAAACCCAAAACTTATGTCGAAATGCCATGATCAAATAGTTTTTTTGTTAAAACAAGGAATCAACAAATAAATAACTAAAAAATAATCATCACTTAAGCTTATTATACCATACACTATATACAGATTGTAAAATACTCAAAATTAAAAAATAAAAATATTATATTAATGGTTTTTAAAAATTATATTAAAAAGTAAAATATTAAAAATGTATATCTTCAGAGAAGTTGTACTTCATTTCAACCTCGTATATACATAATTTAAAACAAATTTAATTAATTAAATAAAAATATGTAATTTCAGAATTATTTCAATCATTTGGTTTTTCAATATTCCATCATATAATCTATTTTTTTTTTTTAAGTATTAATTGAATATTGTAAAATAAAAAATGTTGATATACCAAACTGAATTACAAGATATTTTTTTTTTATTATTGTCTAGCACAACATTTATAAGCTATCATTTTTTTCTAATACAGAAGGTTTTTCATGCTAAATGCAGATTTACTTACGAATTTGAATGTTTTATTACTGTAAGCCTACTCGACATATCTTTTAAGGAATATTAAAAACATATTTATGTTAAAAATATATCTATTTTTGAAAAATGTTCAATACCATTAGTTTAATATTTCTTACAATTTTTCAATTAATAACTTTACAAGAACTTAAATATAATTAAAACAATTTTAATATTATAAATTTATTATTAAGTATATTTTTATTATATTCAATATTTTATTTACAATTTCAATGTCAATGATAATCAATCAATCAAGTATAATGAAGAATAACCAACAAAAATTTAACAATTTTTTTTTACAAAATTATTTTATTTATTTATTGAAATTAACCTTAGTAACAAGGCCAGCTGCTATAGTAGTACCACCAGACCTTAACATTATTCTGCCTAATTGCCTGATATCTGAATACACCTCAACACAAATTGGTCTCGATAATTGTATCTTGACAAGAGCATGAGTATTTTTCTTGATCATGCGTGGATTTTTCTTCATAACTTCCCCTGTACTCTTATTCAGTTCTGCTAATAGTCTACTGACAACTGCTGATTCTGAAGAACTTTGATAATGTAGTACAATCTGATGCCCTCGAACAATGGGAAAGTCCACATTAAACACAATAACACGTGCTTCTAATATTGATGTTATTGGTACGGGAAATGATGGGTCACATAAGACACAACCTGAGTATATAGTTTGAGCATCATACCCAGCTAACCCAACACTTATGAAGTCACCAGCCAATCCAATAGGTTGCGGTAAATCGTCTATTTCAATACCTGAAGAACATTAGAAGTCTTTGTTAATGATGCTTACCTGATATACCGTGTGTTATGCATGACCTTGAATTTGATTTGAGTTTTTTTTACAGGGTACAAGACATATAAATATATGTTTTTATAAATTCTAATTTTTAATTTATTTTTTCTGCGCATGCGTAGTAAAATAAAAATTTCTTAATAAGGAATCACTATTTTTGACACTGAATTTGGATTGCTTTATTTTTTTTTTTTTTTTTTATTTTCTTATGTGTTGATTTTTTATGTGTTCAAAATTGACATTTTTAAGACAGTCGAATATTTTAAATTAAGTAATTCGTATTTATTGCATATTTCAACACATTTTCCAACAAGATGGGGCTCCCATCCATAATGCAATTATTGTTCGAGAATACCTTAACCAAACTTTTGGCAATAAATTGATGGGTACATATGATCCAGTACAATGGCCTGCTAAATCACCTTATATAACAATGTTGGATTATTTTTTATGGGAACATTTAAAAACAATAGTTTATGCAAATCCACCTATTAATCTTGAAGATTTGAAAAATAAAATAATCATTGTGTGTAATGAACTTACTGAATATCAAATAATAACAGATACACAAAGAAAACTACTTACGAATGGAAGCATGCGTTGAAAATAATGACAATAATTTTGAACAGTTTATTGAATAATAAATTATTATTATTATTATCTAATGATATTTGTTAATAAATTCAATGTTATAATAAATACCTACACCTTGTAGTTTTAATAAAAATAAATTGTTATAATAATATCTGTAAATGCTTGATTATGATACGTAGAGCGTTGAAGTATGCGATAAATACGAATTACCTAATTTAAAACTTTCAACAGTCTTAAAGATGTCAATTTTGAACATTTCAAAAAACTGTAAAGATCAAAGTTGCTCAAATAAAATAGAGCAAAACAAATCCAATGTCAAAAATGGTGGTTCCTATTTAAGAAATTTTTATTTTATCTGTGCAGATAAAAAAAAGTTAAAAATTAGAATTTATCAAAAACATATGTATTTATATGTCCTGTACCCTGTAAAAAAAACCCAAATCAAATTTAAGGTCATGTGTTTGAAATATTTCCTGTTACCTTTAAAATTGAACATACGGTATTTAAAAATTAATGCAAAAACTCACTTTTAATCTGTGCAATTTCTCCCTGAGGTTGTACCAAGACTTTATCGCCAACTCTCATCTGGCCTGTTTCAATTCTTCCAACAATTGAGTACCCTGACCCTAAACTTTTATAAACATCACTTATACATAACCTTAATGGCTTGGAAATTGGGCGCTCTGGTGGTTTAAATGAATCTAAAAATAAATAAATATTATTTTTTTACTTGGAAATGTTTAAATAGTATAACAGTAGAATATGTTTAGTTACCCACCAATAACATCCATTAGACAAGGGCCATTATACCACTGAGTAAGTAATGATTCATTAGCTTTCGTGGCCAGATTTTCACCGCTCAGACCAGAGCATGGTACAAATGTTACATCAGACTCTTTGTAGCCAGCTTGCTTTAAAAAGAGTCCAAGTTTTGATTTAATTTCTTCAAATCGTTCTTCTGACCAAAAGACAGTATCCATCTTATTTATAGCCACTCCAAGTTGAGTAATTCCTAGAAATAAAAATGCATATTATCTATTTAAAATTTTTCTTTAATAAGTTATACAATTTACCCAGAGATCGTATTAAAAGAGCATGCTCTCTGGTTTGTCCTCCACTATCAAACCCCGTTTCAAATTCTCCTTTAGTTGCATCTACGACTAAAATAGTGGCATCAGCTTGAGAAGCCCCTAAAATCATTTTATTCAAAAGATTATTTTGATTTTGTTTTTAAAAAAGTTTGAGTACTATATTTTTTACAAAGAGGAAATTAGTTTCAAATCGAGATTTATAATCAATAATAAAATAAGTTTAAAATAAGTTATTGTGAACACTTTTATTAGCAAAACATTTATAATCCTAATAAATGTTCATCTTTAATGAAAATCACAGAGAATGCTATTAATTATATTTATTTAATAATAACGATTTTTAGAAAACAAAGTAGACTAAATTAAAACCGTACACTCATATAAAATTACTATATATTTCTGACCCTTAAATTGTTTGGCTCAACAAACATTTTAATATACATTAAGTTTTTATCCAACATTTGTAATAGAAAACATAGGGATTCATTTGTGATTGATCATCAACATATATATCACTATACAATAAATATCAAATGTGTATCTATCTTTCTCAATCATATAAAATGTATTCAATAACAATTTTGAATAAACTTGAATAAGCTATTTAAAAAAAAATGTATAACACTACAGCTTTTTATACACATAATATTTTACAAAATAAATGCAATATTATCAATGACTTATCCTCTTCTTAAAATCAGATAGTAAATATTTAAGATATAATTTGATATTAGATACCACAATTTTTATTTTATTTATTAACACATTTCCACATTGATTAATAGATAGATATTAATAGATAGGTACTAATAGTGATCACATTTTCTCAATTACAGCAATAGTAAACACTCTTTTTTTTTTTTTTATTATTGATAATTGATCTGTTAATATTATAACCTGAATATCAATGTAATCTAAACCTATAGATTTTATTAGGTATTGTTTTATTCATTAATTTTAATTAAATAAATAGTAGAATCTAAAAATCATTAGTAATATTTAGAAAGGAATTTAGTAATGATTCAGTTGTAACCACACTAAACATATAGTATATTTATAACTAGGCTTGCCATTTGTCCCGGTTTATAGAAACTAAGAGAAATAACATTTTATATTGTATTATTTAGTAATAAAACATAGAACCATATTATACATTATATCATTATATTACTGTAAACGGTATGGTTATATACAATAATAATGTATTTATGTATTAGCAAATTAATATTTAAATTACAAAATGATATATTTATTTTTGTTTCAATAAAACGTTACAATAAAAATAAAAAAATTAAGAGCCAATCAATATGATGTCCGATTTAGAGTTTTCAAAATCTGGCAACCCTATTCATAACCGTGCTTGCTAGTGGTCTTACTTGTATTTAAGAATAATATTATACCAATGTATAATTAAGTTAACTAAGTGAATGATACTTTTCAATTTCACAGTAACTTAAGAACAAAATGCGTGCACCATTGATTACTTTACCTGTAATCATATTTGGTATAAAATCTTTGTGCCCAGGTGCATCTAATAATGTAACATCTTTTGTCTTAGTTTCAAATTTCAAATGACCAACATCCATTGTAATACCACGGTTTCTATTATTACAAATGTATTATATAGATAACACATCTGAAAATGTTAGTGAATGTATATATATTAATATATTGATATTTTTATACATTACCTTTCTTCAGTAGTTTCATCCAACACCCAAGCATACACGAAACTCTGTTTACCTAACTTTTTACTCTCATGTTCATACTTCTGTATAGTACGCTGCTGTACATGTCCCAATTTGTATAGTAAATGGCCCATTAAAGTACTTTTTCCTGCATCAACATGACCAATTATAATTAAGTAAAGTTGATCTTTGTGATGTGATGTTGATAACCCTGAATCATCTTTGACTTTAGTATTCCTATTTAAAAATGAATATAATTTTAATAAAAATTGTATTAAATCAATTATCAAGTAATACTTGGGAGAGTTTAGTTTCCGATCTGTACGTGGAGATCCTACACGAGTACTCTGAGGAGATCGATTACGCGGAGTTGCTGCTGGAGAACATATAGGTGTACTAAATGGTGTCTGTTTAGGTGTTGCAGTTAAATTTTTATTTTTTGAACCTAAATTCTCAGTTAATAAATATTTAACTAATTTTAATGCATTTATTTCCAAACTAATAAATTCAAATGCTCAATGCATGTTTAAGGCATTAAGTTTAACAGTCAAATTTAAATTAGTAAATAAATATACCTGAAATTGATGTATTTCCAAAACCAACAACTATGCTGTCTTTATTTTTAGATGAAGAAGCAATAACTACAGTAGGTCTACTAGAATTGTCTTCAGTTCCTTGATATTCTTTTCCTTTTGTGTCACCTACGTTGTAGAATATATAAAATATAAAATAATGAAATTCAAGAAGAATTAAACATAATTTACCAGATTTTGAATTTAAAATTTGATCAACAGTTTTATCAATATTAAATTCATTTCTAATCAAATGTCCAGTTAAAACATCCTTGGGAATTTCAAAACCCAACACTTCTGTTACTCTTTGCAAGCAAGAATTTACTTTAGCATCTGTAAATTCTTGATCAGAATCAAACTTGGGTTTATGATTGATTAAATAAATTGCTACAATAATAAAATATTTATAAAAATTAAAAAATTAAATTTATGAAAATAAATAGGAATTAATTTATAGTTACCATCACTAGGAGAAATACAGTCATCCTCAAATGAATTTGAATAATCATCATCATCATAATATTCATCTGTAAAAATTTTAAAAATACGTATAGTTTAAGAAAAATCTATTCTTGATTATTTTATGTTAAGAAAAATTAATATGCTACTAAATAAATCAAAAATTATATTTACACAATATCTTGTTATATCCTAAATTTAATCAGTATGACTACAGAAATTCTTGTTTATGTGAACAACTATTAATCTCATTATGATATAATAACTGATATTTTCCATTACAACAACCTATAGATATTATTAGAATATTCGATTTATCTTTATTTATAGCCCAATAAAACAATAATAAAGTTCAATAATTCTATAAGTAATATGCAGGGCAACTCTAAAGATTTTTAGAGCCTGGGGAGAATTTATTCGCCGAACCTTCAATTATCACAATAATATACTCGTATGATAAAAAATACACACAAAGTTTGAAAAATGTGGGTAACTATAATTTAAGTTATTTTTATTTAATTAAATTTATTTATGTTTCAAAAAGAAAAATAATTTAGAAATAATATATTATTATAAATAATCTCTAATAGGTAACATAAAGTATTTCCAGACTTGGGTAGTATTCTGAATACAATATTTGGAATACTCTATTCAGAATACTTTTTAAATACTTTTTTTGAAAGTATTCAATTAAGTATTTTGAATAGGTACTTATAACGAGTTTTCTGAATACTGTATTTCGAATACTGTTAATCTCTTTTTTAAATGATTTTATCACTTTTCCATCATATCATGTATAAGCTAATATCAGGTATTTATTATTGTTGTAAATCATAAACTATAACAGTTATGTAATATATAAATATATCAAAATAACATATATTTAGTCTACAACTTCAAATATTTCTGTTGAGTGGACATCAATTATTTTTATAGTATGAAAACTAGAAGTATTTTAAAAGTATTCGGAATACTTTTGAAGTATTCTAAATAATGTATTGGGAATACAATTTGTATAATCTATTTGAATACATATTCGGAATACTATTTTTTGTAAGTATTCGAGTGTTTATTCTAAATACTTTTAAAAATATTTTACCCAAGTCTGAGTATTTCTAATCAATCTGGACTTTAAGAGAACCTCCTTTAAGTTTTCCTAGACAGGGGACCAGAGCAAGATGGTCCCGTTACCACCCCCACTAGTGATAGGACAGGTAGTATGCCTTTCAATGAAATTTTGTATGCAGAAAAATATTCAAAACAATAATATCACTTTAAAATGATAACACCTACGTCGTATTGAAAAATCATAATAAGTACCTAGAGAAGGTATACATTTCCTGCTAAAATAGATGTACCAGAAGATCGTTCTGAAAATTTTTGATCTATCATAAATTATGATACGACTAAAGTATACAGCCAACTCGACAATTGTCATCGACAACATCACGTCAACAAACGAAAGTTCAAAATAAAAACAGTTGATATAACAACAAAAAGAGCTTACCGTCGGAATACTGCGTGGTCCTCACATTTCGATGACGAGCCATGTTTTGATTTCGTCTTCAAACACTGTCGGAACCACTGTATCTACGGAAGGTGAATTATACTAATGCCAATAATGAAATAAGTATCGCGTGTTAAAATATTAATCCACCGGAACAAAATAATAGAAATTTAGCGCACGAAAAAAACACAACAAATGAGGAATTTAAATAAGAAAAATTAAAAAAAAAAAAAAAGGTATAAAAAGAACCTTTGCATAAGCTACACGTGATATCAGATGACAAAAACATCAGCGCCGTGTTATGGTGATAACAGTTATCATTTCGGCACGGCATAGAGAGAGAAAGAGAGTGAGTAGAGAAAAAGCGAGCAAGAGCAAACAATCAAAACCGAACGACGAACACTGACAACCATCGAGATAAACAATTTTGGAGCGCATACTGAGGTACTGAAAACGAGCCAAGTTTTTAAACGCTTCCCCCACTACTGCAGGGCAATAAAACATAATACTGCTATGTGAATATGACTATTCCGTGCTAAACGAAATTTCACACCAAAAAGTAAACATCGAAATTTTGTTCAACTAGAATTAGGATTGTATTTAACTACCTACTTGATGCTTATGGAATATTAAACAATGTTGCTTGATATATTGTAAGGAATATATGTAGAAAAATAGTTTGCCCTTTTTGTATTGATATACCATAGCTATACAAAAAATATAAATTTTACAACTTTTGTTACAAGAGGAAAATTAAAAATAGTTTCTCCTGTTGTTTCATTAATCCTTAAAGAATTGGAAAAATAATTTCAACTTTTTATAGTAATGCAAAAAAAAACTACATGCAAAGGTAAAAACTAATATTTTAATAATATTTAACTATTATAGTTGAAATCGTTATACGTTTATTCGTTAAACTCGTTTTTTTTTTATCGCAGTTTGTTATTGATGTAAATAATTAAAAGCCATGTGGATACATTAAATATGTTCCCGTTCAACGATGTAGTCGTGGGCGATCGCAGGAAATTTATCAAGGGGGGCATAATTAAATCGAACACTAAAGAGTATATTAAAAAAAAATGTATTCTTAGCAAACAATAAAATATATCAGAATTGTACACACTTTAATCGTTATCAAATAAAAATTGAAGTCCTCGCAGTTGTTTGATTGCAAACCTTATTATTGACCGTACGATTAATTTTTTCCAGGGGAGCATATTCCCTGTTCCCCCCCTCTGGGCGCCCATGGATGTAGTTATGTCATTAATTGAAACTCCATTTTCCCGTAGAAATGAAATTCAAAAAAAAAAGTTTATATAATGGTCGTCCTACAGAGATGTTAGATAACATTTGTATACCCACTCAAAAAACTAAAACTAAAGTAAGTTCTCGGTCTTTCAATATATCTTGGTACAATAACCATAAGTAACCATAACAGCGACTGTTTTGTTGGCCTTGCATTTTACTAGGTAAAGTTAAAAATGTTTGGATTACCGATGGCTATTATGATTTAAAAAATCTGGCCAGAAGTGTTAAAATGCATGAAGCATCAAAAGAGATGCAGATCCTAATACCTTGAAAAAATGTATATTGTAGGTATGTTGCGTTTACTAAATATCTGCCTCACCACTTACGAGACCCACGAATCGCCACTATCAAAAAGGCCTCTGAAAGTGATTTAACACTTAAAACAACTATTACTTTATTTATAAAGAACAATATTTCAGAGTGAACCTCATAGGGGTTTTTCATTATTCCAAAATAATAGTTCTCTATGATAAATATAAAAAAGCATTTATTTAATTTTTTTAAATCATTGTAACTTTTATTCTAATAAATATTTTTCAAAACGTTTATGAGATTCACTGAAAAATTTTATTCTTTATCAATTGAACAGAGGTGGATAGGCTCACCGGGATACCAGGATTTTCCCGGTGGGCCTCTACATATTTTAACGAAATGGGCCGATACGTTCGTTATAGTGAAAAATATTATTATTATTATTATTATTATTATTATAAATTTAAAATATACATTGCATCAATGCATTTTGAATATAATTATATAAGTTCCTACTTTGATTTGGTGTAGCCTGAATGGACTACTTGGCAGTTGAAAAAAATTAGTACCATATAACAAAAAATAAAAAAAAACCTTTATTAGAAAAAAAAAGAACAACATGGCAAAAAAATCCGTAAAAGCAAAACAAAGTAAAAAAAAAAAAAGTAAACGGTACAAGAATTATAATGTTTTGATAAAAAAAAAATGTACTGGATCACTATGTCTTCGATCTACTGTCAGTTAAACATGCGACTACGCATATGGTTTCTTTGGCGTTATTACCGACTTTGGATCTAACACCACTTCGGAGACGGTCGGTTCGATCGATCCCCCTCCCTCGCTTGACTACTGTAGGTATAGAACGCGTTTGAGGAGTTCTTCCACCCTTCAACGCTGACGTGTTCGATCTCCACGCGCCCAAAACCATAGTCTCTCGACACATTCACAGACATGTGGATGGTTTTGGGCACGTGGAGAACGACCCTGGGGGCGATCTCACGCGCCATCTCGAGAATGCCGTCTAGTCCACCCTTCTGGCGGCTGCACAAATCTTCGGCACTGAACCGCCGATTCCGATCCCATACCGGGGCCGTCCACGGCGGCGAAGTGATCACCGCGTCGGCTGTCACTCCGGACAGTGCCGCGAAGCTGTCGCCGACCCGAAACTCGATCCGGTGGGCGACTCCAAGCTCCACGGCCTTTCGACGGGCCAACCGTATTTTGGCCGAGTCCTTGTCCACGGCGATCACCTTTTGACACGTGCAAGTCAACCGAACGACCAGAAGGCCGACGCCGCAAAACGGGTCGACGACCGTGCCGAAAGCGCACTTCCGGGCTACGTGCATTGGCTAACACATCCGGGCACGCGGACATCGGGAAGTAAAGCTTTTCGGTCACCGGTCGCCGTATGAACCGCCAAGCGGCCGGTTTCCCGTCGGCGTCGAAGCGCAGCGGCATCGGTGGCTTGAACGCGGACCGATCAGGGTGTGCCGTGAACACGGTAGTGCTGGGGAAACTGAAACTGGACACGGTTTCCACTGCAGCTCCACCAACCGTTACGGCGTCCCCCGCAGACCCGACAGGGTGGTCTTCGGTCTCCGGCGGTTGTTCCGTCGGTCCGAAGTCCCGTGGCGACGACTGGTCGTCCGTCCCTGAGAACGCTTCAGTGGTGTCGGGCGGTCCGTCGGTCTGGACACCGACGTCCACATACGTGAATATATATATGAATGCGATATATAAATGTTTTACAATTTTTAAAATTAGGTAGGTACATTTAAAATTACAAATTAGTAAATTTAATAATTTAAAAAAATTGCTATTGGACCATTTTTCTTGAAAAATGCGTTTTTCATCCGAGATTTTACTTTTTTTACTCATCGACATATTGTACAAATATTACGAAGAAAAAGTATGAAATGAAATTTTTACACATAAAGGAGAATATTGTGCTCGTTCCATAATCGATTACGAACCAACAGACAATAATAATTATTTATTGGTAGGTAATTCAATTTATATTATCACATATTTCTGATAGCGATAGCTTAACTGTTAAAATTTTATTGAACTAGAAAATATAAATGCTAAATTTAAAATGTGATCGCGGGCCGCATATTATGACAGGGCGGGGGTTGAAGACCCCTGGATTAGAGAATAAACCTATTTAGCATATTTTAGGATATTTGATTTTTTTTTCATAGTTGGAGATTGTACAAACTGTTATCTGCAAACTAACCAATATACCTGGTGAAACGGGTAACATAATAAAAATACTAAAGTGTCTCAATTAAGTTAAAAAAACAAAGGTTACCAAATGTTAGCAAAAGTTGGGAGCATTTTATGTGGAAACAATGAAGATCTCCCAGAATATTTTACACCTAATGTAGTTGTTGACATGAAGTTTGCACCTCTGATACCTGTTGATGTTAAACGTTCATTTATTCTCTATAAATAAATTTTAAGCGATAGAAGAACTAACATATACATATAAATTATTGTTAATTCATATAATAAAATTTAAATAGTGTTTCAAGTTTCTTTTTTATTCTTCAGAAAGTAAATATTTACCATTCTATGCACCAATGAAATATTGTTATATATATATATATATATATATATATTTATTGTTATTTTATATCTTGTATTAAATTATTATTATTTAAGGATTACCTTTTGTTAACCAATTTTTTTGTTTTATTATATTTTAATATATATATGATTATTTGTTATTTTTAATATTGAGACAATAGTGTTAATATAATATAAAAATATACCAAAGGAATATTGTTTTTAAATTTTAATACTGTAGACCAGGGATCGCCAATCAGTCGATCCTTGTAAAAATTAATTTTACCACTATCGGTCGATCGCGTAAAATAATCAGATTAATTGGATAATGGGAATATTAGATTTAAAGATTAAAGACCTAAATTTTCCTGGATGTCAATCACTAGGGACTTAAATGTCAAAGGTAGCTCACTTGTTTGAAAATGTTGGCGACCCCTGCTATAGACTATATTGTAATATTTTTACTATATTCCTACTCTTACTGAAGTACAATAGTATTCTATTATAATATACAACTGTGTATATACCTCATGATTAAATGAATGTTTTTAAAAAAAAAAATTTTTTTTAAAAATTCATATTAAACCATATATTGATGTTTGTTGATTATTTTTGAATAATTTCGAATATTTTTACATATTTTTAAGATTTTTAGAGAATATAATAAGAATATTTGAAGGTTTTTTAGAGAATATTAGCATCATATTTAAGGTATTTTGAAAGAATATAAATCCAGTCTTTAATTATCAGTAAATAACCAACGAAATTTATTATTTGTCCTTTATGTAATTTTCTCTCTTTGATTATTTATTTAAAATTGTTAAAAATAATAAAATTACTGTAATTAACTGAAACTACAGATACCTATTTGGTAAGGGGCCCAGGTCTTATAATTTTTAAGGGCCTACCGGGATTTTCCCGGAGTCCCGGTTAGCCAGTACGCGGCTGGTATCGACTTGGTTCCCGAGCTCCAACCCCATGTGCCGAATTGGTTCCCGTCTGAAAAAGGTATTTTATTAGGTATAGCCGAATTGGTTCCCGTTTAATTACGCACATTTTCCTTTTCAATTTTACAGGCTTAAGACTGTCAACTTTAAAGTAAGCTTACTTAACAATGTGCGTTAATATGTGTTAAAAAAAAAAAAATGATAAAATATACAATTTTAAATCGTTGATTTGGAAGTCAACTAGTCATAATTTAGGTGTATGAAATACAAATAATAAAATAAAATAAATACAATTTAAAACCACTGATTTACAAATTTGAAGCTAACTTTCTTTAAATATTCATTTCTCGTAATATTTTCATTAATGTATTCAGTCATACAATTTTCCAAGTATATGTTATTTCTTTCCTCTTTGCTAGTAAGTCTCTATTAATCTATAGTCTATTATATTTCTATACCTACTCTTATCGATATAATAATTGTGTCTATATGTCATACATATAGCTTTTAAAATTGTTTTTTTACTCTTTATGCACTGGCCCGCTGGGTTTTAATTTTTAATAGTGTAGGTACATTGTGTTAAAAATTAAAATTGTCACTATTTTACCTGTACACAAACGGGAACCAATTCGGTTACTCTCCAGTATGCGTCTGCGTGGTAATAAACAATTTTTTTATTAAAATCACTCAAAATTCACCTCATATTTTCTTAAAAGAATAAATATATTTTATAAATATAAAAATTTAAATTATCGCATAAGCAACATTCTCAGTGTTGCGACCAATTTTGGGAATAACCCCCATCCTTAAGACATATCCATGTCAAAGATAACAATTTTTAACAATGGTGTTTTTCATTTCGAGGTGGGAGGACTCACTCCCCCCCCCCATAAATACTCCCCAGATTCATTAACATGTTGCAGAACCTTTGAGATTGTTCCGCGGAAGACACTGAGAATTTCTGATCTATAGAACATGCTTGTTTATTTATAGCCATAGTTTTATTATGTAATTTAATTTTACCAGTATTTATCATTTGTATGGTTATTGACAAGTTGAAAAGTACTTTGTTTCGTATTATCGCAGTATTATCATCATATTATTATAAGTATTTGTCATAATTAGACAATTATCAAAGTATTTACTATTTACACAGAACAATTATTTACATATATGTATACTGTCATACTGGGAGATTAGTATTAGATGTAGAATTAGATTAGATGCAGAATTGAAAAAAAATGAAATGTTCATTAAACAAGTTTTTAAACAAAATTGATTCAGGTAAGTACATACTTCATACAGATAAATAATATAAATATTTTGGTATTTAAATATGATAAATTTATTTGTATTTATATATTATATAATTATTTATTTATATTATTGTTCTTATTAAGTTTTATTCGATACCTAACTATTAATTATTGATACAGATATATAATATAGTTTATCTCTATTCTATATTGGCTTACTGTCTGTCTATACTTAATAATTATAAAGCACATTTCAAAAATATTTTTAAGAAATTTTTAAACGTATGATAACTGAGAGGTATTTTGAACTACAGAAGGCCTCTTTGAGGTAAAGGCACATTCTGTGACGATTTCCTAGATTCGATAACTCGTTATTCCAACTGAAGTCTGAAATCTGTGGTAAAATAATGGAAAGTCTAGTGGTGTACACAATTTTTATTTATTTAGTAAAATAACTTTTTCGTATGAACTGGGTAAGAAATATTCATAAACTTAATAGAAAATATAATGGGTGAAAAATCATATTTTTTAAAATGCAATATTTGCGACAACAGTCGTTTTTTAAAGTAAGAAAAACATTATTGATTGAACATTTAAATTCTGAGCATGGGATGTCCATCAATAAGGAAGTTAAACAGTTCAAAAATATTATAAGTATGTATCAACGACTACTTTTTCACTGCGATATAAATTGTTTAAATTATACATACCTACTATGACATTCTGGAAAAAAATCGTTAATAAATTAAATATCGACCTGTGTTAAATTTACTAAATTTACTTATTAGAGGTATGAATAATATATAATTGAAGCTTTTTAAAAAAAAAAAAAAAACAATAATATTGAAGAACACTTCAGTTTTCAGTAGTCCGATGATCAATTGTTTGTTAAAAATATTAAATTCTTATCGATTTTTATAAAAAAAAAAAAAAGGTGGGTGCACCGTAGGCGTATGCGTACGAGCGGCGGTGCATTCCTGCGTTTAAACATTTCTGTGCGAACAACCGGTGGACAGCAGGTGCGAGTGTGATAACCGTCCGTCGGCTGATAACGGACGGGCGCCCGCTCGCGCGCGCATATGATCATCGATAAGCGCCCCGTGCATTACGTCGTATCGCCCACCGCAAACCGTAGCGACAACAACCGAGGTGCACGGCCACCCACCGCATCGCATCCGACGTTACGTAAACTGCGCGACACAAACAACGACAACCGAACCCGTAGTAGTGTACGCGTAACGGACGCGAGCACCATCGTCACCATCACCACCTCCTCCGCCGTCATCGGGGAAACGTCTACATGGCTTGCGTGTCCTCTGGATCGCTCAAATGTAACCCACGTATCTGATAGTAACGACGACAACGCCCGCGATGGACGACGATACGATGGCGGACAACCCGTCCGCGACCGGTAGGTCGTCGTCTCAGAATTTCAAAGTGGTCCTTTTGGGCGAGGGTTGTGTCGGCAAAACATCGTTGGTGCTCCGGTACACCGAAGATAAGTTCAACGACAAGCACGTCAGCACCTTACAGGTAGGCCAGCAGCGTCCATTTGTGTAACTGTGGTGTGTCATTTTTAATTTCTATAGTTAGTCTATTGTTGCAGGCGTCTTTTGTCAAAAAGAAACTCAATCTCAACGGACGCAGAATAAACTTGGCTATATGGGATACGGCTGGCCAAGAACGGTTTCACGCCTTGGGACCCATCTATTACCGGATGTCTAATGGTGCAATACTTGTTTATGATATAACTGATGAAGATTCTTTTCAAAAAGTAACTTTTCCCCTATTGTTTATTTCTTAGTTATTACTAGTTGAGTAAAATTAATATGTTAGCTCAATAAAACTTGAAAATATTGCAATATATTCAGATATCTGGATTGAAATGTTTGTAAAAGTACAGGAATAATATCATTTGAAAGGTTTTAACTCTTACATGCCAAATCGGCCTTAAATTACTAGTTTATATGCATGTATTTTGATTTTTAAGCAAAATAGAAGCTCAGGGTATATTACTAAATGTATTAACTTATTTTATAAAACAGTGATTAAGCAGGTTTGAAAAGCAGAAAATACACAAATTTGGTTTTTCATATTTCTTATTTTTATTAAACAATATACTAAAATTAACTAGAACATAGTAACAAAAAAAAACCATGATCTTTAGATAGAACAGTGACATTGTGTGCATAAGCATAATATTTTGTATAGAATCCAAGGGCGCAATTTCAATGAAAAAACTGGGAGTGCTGAAGCCCTTCTATCTCTTTCATGTTCCTTAATGGTTATAGACACCGGCAACCCATACAATTCAACAGTTACTAAAATATTTGGTAAATATTTGAATATTTCTAAATTTAAATTGTTCACTTTGATTTTTTATTTTTATTGCGCGTACAATGAATTACCTGTCTGTAAACACAAACGTTTCATTATATGATTACATTTAGATTCTGAGTGAAGCGATTCGGTAAGAATATTATGGTAATATAATGATGTTTGTATTTTATTTTTTTAACAATTTTTCGGATAGAAATACTAGTCTAAAAGTTTTTTCTAGGAACTTAAGATTTTAAATTGACATGTGGTAGTACTTTAGATAGGTAATTTTTTATAATATTTTTAAATTAATAGTTTTTTCAGACGTAAGGAAAAAACTGTCCTGAAGCGGTAAAATTATACTGTAAATAAGACTTTCACCTTTCAGATTTTAGTTATTTAGTCATAATTCCAAAAGTAATGTGACTAGAAATTTGAAACTCTTACCCTATAGCAAAGATTTTTTTCGTATTTGATAAAATTTTAAAAAAGCGCATTTATTTAATTTAATTATAGAACTGTAAAAATACCTAATTTTTATAAGTCTTTATGTAATAACATTTTTATTTTTGGATATTAAGTGAAAATTTAATATTACTTAACTCATATACGAGTACTTACTTATTTATAGATACTGAAAATTTTTTAAAAAAATCGTTAGTCTGAAATTTATTTCATAAGTGTAAATTTTTATGCCTATGATTTTTACAGATTTTACTCTTTTTATATTAATTTTTAGGATTAAATGTTTATCAAAAAAATTTAGTCCATCCAATCATTATGAAACCTTGAATAATAAATATTTGGTTAAAAAATAAATAATTTTCTTCGTCAGACAGTAAATTGTTAAACAGGTTGATAAAAAAAGAAACTATCGATAATAAGACTAAAAATGATAAAATATACTTATAAATTGTTGGTTTTTATACTAAACCCTTGCTCAAAACCGTTTTGATAAAAAAATTATTTATCATTTCTTTAAAATTCAGTATATTTACTACTAGTCTTGCCACTTGTCCCAGTGTCTCGGCCGATCATTCAGATTATCCCAGTTAATAGAAACTGACAGAAAATAACATTTAATATTATATTATTTAATAATAAAACATTGAATAATAGAGTGTATTATATAATTATATAATATGGTAATCTAATCGGTATGATTATATACAATAATAATGTATTTTTGTATTAGTCAATAAATATTTAAATTACAAAATTATATAATTATTTTGTTTTTATATCAAAATAAAAAAAAGTTATTCGATAGGTTTAGGTTTAGGGATTTCAAAATCTGACATCCCAACCTATTACTATTATCCAGTTTGAGGACCAAAGAGATAAAGGACGAACTTCCATCACCATTATTTAAATAATAAATTTATATATATATATATATATATATATATATATATATATATATATAATAAAAACTCTATTTTTCTATACATAATGAGAAATTAATATTTAAAAGTAAATTAACATGAACAGATTTGGGGGTGGTAATTTCACTTGCTAAGCACACCCAAGCCTCCCCCCCCCAAATTGCGCCTATGATAGAATCACCACTTTACTTTAAGTCTATTTTATTATGTATATTTAATTGATATAGTTGGAATGATTAAAACAAAATATATGAATATTTATACAGTATATTTGATGCTATTTATAGCATTTTAATTTAAAAATTGGCCACTATTGTTAAAAGAAAATCAACAAATATATTTTAAAACTATCCTACATTATACATAATTTCCTTATGTATTCATTTAACCTTTTACCATACACACAAGATTACATGTTATTCTAGGCTGAGATAAATAATTAATTTAATTCTCAGACCAGATGTAACAAAACACATTGAAAGAAATTTCATAATGCATTTAGTGTATGAAATATATGGTCAAATTTAGTTTGATTTAAAAAGTATACACAATTAGTAATTTCATTAAAATTTAATTAGAAATTAATTTAAGAGTTGTTAAAGTTTGTACAATTTTTCAGGTAAAAAATTGGATTAAAGAATTGAAGAAGATGTTGGGAAGTGAAATTTGTTTAGTTATAGCTGGAAATAAAATTGATTTAGAAAAAGATCGTACGGTTTCAGTTGAAGATGCAGAAAAGTAATACTTGTAAATATTTTATTGGCTTGACAAAATTTAGTAATTTAATATTGTACATTTAGTTATGCACGCTCAGTTGGTGCTGTACACTTTCATACATCTGCCAAAATAAATTCTGGAATTGAAGAAATATTTTTGAACTTGTGTTATTTGATGATTGAAAAGGCTGATAAACAAAAGGCTGATCATTTGGTCTCATTAAATCGGTCTGGAAGCACAAGAAGAACAATAATAATCGATGATGAAGATGTTCCATCAACTGAGGGTTCATCACGTTGGTGTTGCAGTAATTAGATTAATGTTTAGGAACACAATTTAAAATATTAAATATTGTATTTTTAATAGGTAAATATATTTTTTTTCTGAAAGTAATTTGTGATATTTTTATGTTGTTGAAAAAAATTTGATTGTATAAATAGAAAGTAAATAATTATATTTTTATAAGAGTTTCTTCACTTGTATATGATTTACATTAATAAACCTTGTATATTAGTAAAATTGAGTAAGTTAAGCTTTGTAATTATAAGCTTACTGTAAAACGAGTTAAAATGCTTTTTTCATGCATAACTCAGTGGTGTCAAAATGAACGATAGCTATAATTATAAATTTTAATTTAACTGTAGACTGAACATTTTCAAATAAAACTGAAAATATATAACATAATATTAAAAATCATAAGTTTTTAATATTAAATTTCTACAAATATGTATGTATAAGTAAATTAAGTGAACAGTGGAATATTTTAGTAGGAATAAATAATACAAGTAAAAATATTTTAACATATTTAAATGCGGTTGATTTGTTTTAATTTTCATAATATACCAAAATAAACATCCGCATACAACAAAACAACAAAATACAATATAATTATATAAAATAGTATACACGAGGAAATATATGGTACGTAATATATACATTAAACATTTTGTTTAATTTATATTTGTATAATTTAAAAAATATTTATTCTATATAGAAATTTATGAAATTTAGGTTAATTGCTTAAAAAATCACTATTTTCTTTCCAATATGTTTACATAGTCAATACAAAATATATATCAGATCTGTTTGATTGACAAATACAAAAAAACCAATATATTAAAAATTAAATTAAATATAGAAATTAATATATATAAATATATATAAATGCTTCTAGTTAAAATGAATTAATACTGAATGCTATATAAATATATAATAATACATATATACATACATGTGTATATATATTTATGTACGAATAAAAGCTGTTATTTTTGTAGGTATTTAAAATTAATTGTAGTCTAAAAACAAGTTATCACTATTTTGAAAGTTTACTTATTACTCTTATCAAAGCACCATTTTCATCTTTTAACCTCTGATTTTCTTGGCGTAACTGCTCCATTTGCTGTAAACATAATAAATATATTAGCTATAAATAAAAAACTGTAAACAAAATAAGTTTATTCAATAAAGCAAGCTTTCCACATTACAGCATAAGAGCTGAAGAAATAAGCAAATGTGGTACACTTGAAAAATATATTAATGCAAAACTAGCACTTAAAACTTTTAAATAGCAGATTGGGCAAATGTTTTGCCTGGAAAGTTTCCATTACTTGAACAAAATACTAAATCAGTCAAAATTAAATTTTACAAATATTGTAATGGAAATAGTAAGATTACAGTAATTGTTAGAAAAAAAGTTTTAATGGAAAGCAATTAATTTTTAGTAATATTGTAAGTAAACAATAACATATGTAATAAAATTAAAAAAATATTAAATGGTTAATACTCATAAATACATAAATAAACAAATCATTTATATATAGAAATAAAAAAATAAATACTTAGCCTGAAGTATTATTATATTTGTAAAGTATAAGCAATTTTGAATTAAAATTCATTATAAGGTATATAGTCATGATTTTATTGTATTTTATTGGTATTATAACATATATACCTGACGTTAAATTTTTAATTTAAAACCGGTTGTACTTTACAAATATAATAATACTCCATACCAAACATTTTTTTTTGTTTTTTATAACATATGATAACACATCATTGCCTTTGAAAATTCTTCAAAAATGTATTACCAAAATGTTTCGATTCAATAAAATATTTTTAAATAATAAATTTATCTGAATTTTTATTAATTATCCACTGTAAAAATTGATATTATTCACTCTATAATTTAAAAATATTATTAAAACACAAAATAATAAAAAAAAAATCAAGTATTAGAATATTATGAAAAATATTATAAGTTTGCATTATCAAATATAATCATTAAAGAAGCTAAAAAAAATCTGTATACAACATTTTAGATTTGGTTTTCGACAAAAAAAAAAAAAAAAAAAAAAAAACTCAATCGATTAGTTGACCAACTGAAATGGGAATTCAAATAAAAACAACACACTTTGCAACAAAATGCCATACATTACAGTCCAAGGTCACATATTAACTACATACATAAAAAAAATAGAAGTTTTCACAATATCAGGTATGAGTAAGTTTAGAAACGACTCTTGTAAGGGCTCTGTTCTCAGTTCGGAGCCGTTCATTTTCTGCTTTCAATTTTTGCAATTGCTATAGAACATAAACTCAAGTATAAGCTCTAAATATTCTAGTATTTAAAGCAACATTGAAAATAGTCTATTTATATTTGTTCCACAGCTTATCCATTTACTTTTAGAACCCCAGAATAAAAATAAAAACTACCTTGAGTTCTTCCTCCATTTCAGACAGTTTTCTCTCCATAGCTCGCCTTTCCCGTTTTTCAGTTTCTGACAAAATGCTTTTTCCGGCCTATGAAATTATGAACCAAATTAGAGTATGAATAATATAGTTAATAAGATTAGTGTTTTACATTGGTTGATAGTTTTTCTATAGTAATCCTGGATTCTAATAGGTCTTCTTCAGTCTTTTGTAACTGTCGCCTTAACCTTTCATTGTCTATGACTACTTCTTCATATAACTAAACAAAAAAATAAATAAATAATTTGCAGTTAACTACTAAAATGATTAAATTAAAAAGTCAAGAAAACTTACAGCTTTATAATCAATTTCTCCATTTTCTGAGCACGGACTGGGAGAATTTGCAACACTGCTGGGTTTACTGTCTTGAGATGATGATAATGAAAAGAGCCGGGATGATGGACTTGTTTTAGTGTCTCCACCGCTCTAAATCCAAATAGAATAAAAAATATTGAATATTACGTATTAAATGGGAACAATGTAATTAAAACCACTTGTTCGCATGATATAAATGATTTACTTAACAATAATCAAGGCCAACCATAGGATTTATCTTTAACATCTCAAATATAGATACACTTTCTAAGTGTGTTTAAAATAGTATTTGAATAATACTTATCTTTACTAGTGAATATAATAAATAACATTTATTATATAAAAATAATTAAATAAATTTAAAAATAATAATTATTGCTTTGAGTTCAAGACCAATGAGTATATATGAATACGAGGAGTAAGTCCTGCAAGTCCCCTCCTTAAAAAAAGTGATTTAAAATATGAATAATAATGCCACGGGATCTATTAAGACGTTAATAGAATACCACATCATAATACGCCGTATGAAAGCTTCACGCGGTCGCAATGGTTGCTTACCCCGTATCCCTCGGATCCGTAACTCTTGCTGGACGCCAAAGAGTTGGAAGAGTCGAATCTGGACAAAGGACTTTGGTAGTAACTCCGTTTGTGGGAACCGTGCGTTTGGTGGCGGGACGACGGGGAACCATGGGCTTGATGACGGGACGACGACGTGGACGGGGAATTGGTCCGGGCGGTGTACGAGGAAAAACTGGGCGACGATGACGATGGGGTGATGGTCAGTCCACCGTACCCGGAAGCGGTGCCACCGTAGGTGGACGTGGAGTAAGAGGGAATGCTGGACGAGTAGGACGATGTGTTGAGATAGGACGAGGGGGTGGACAGGCCGAGCGACGAGTACAGGGAGGAGGAACCGGACCGGGCCGGCGAGCTGTAAACACTTCGGGGCCTGGCGTACGACGAGGAAGACGACGGTCGGGACATTCGGATGTTACTATTGTTGTAAGGAGATGTCGACATGGGGAGTGAGCCGTGGCGAGACGGCGTTAGTGCGCGCACGGTTAAGATAAAATTGTAATGCAAACACAACTATTTTGATGTGATAAATATCGTAGGAGCGGCGTACCACGTACTGAAGCAAGAACTGAAGTGCAGCGCGGAAACTAAGGCCGAAGCTAACGTGTTGCGAGCGCGCAAATATCGCTGTTGTCGTAGAGGCCGTGATCTATTTTTGGTGCAGTGAAACGTCCTCAAAACGAGCTTTAAGCAGTGTGTGCGTCTCTAAGCGTCTTGTACACTATTATATTGTTGTGGACATTTACGGCGGACGGCCAACGCCGCCGAACACAAACACACACATACACGTGGACCAATGATAGATGGTGTTTTGGGACAGAGTGAAGTATCAACACACGTGTGTGTGAGGGGAGCAATAGAAAGCGTAATAAAAACTTTTATTTTAAAAATCACTCGTATTGTTTTTAATTTGTTTAATACGATTTTAATTTAACGGAAGCCAACTTTGAAATAAAAATAGAATTTTACAACGGAGAACGTTGAATCGAAAATAGAATTGCATGCATATGCAATAGAGAAGGCGTTGTTTGACATGCTAAGGAGACTATCGTAGCTGTTCTAGATAAATGATTGAAGGAAAACTGAAAGTTGCCAAAAATATCAAACACATTATTCATTAGTCAAACTTTTCACCGTATACCCAAAAACAATAGTTGGAAAACCCCCAATTTTTTTTTACATATTATTTTTTTGTACTTCATTAAAATCGTTCCATATTCACCATCATGGCCAACGTGAATGTTAAAAGTTTACGACACTGACACGAAAAACACACTTTATTTATAATAAGACTGCAGTAATATTCATGGCCCAGATGTTAACAGGCTACAATACGGTACACAACATGCATAACTAACTTACCTCTCCGACACTATCATCGGTGCCACCACAAGAAGAGGTATCTTGCCTGTCCGGATCGATTTCGTCTAAATCAACATGGACCACTCCAGTAGATCTCCGCTTTGGCCTCTTCCTTCTTTGTATAACTGCCTGAGTCGCCTGATGATTACGAAACTCGTTTTCTTTATCTTGATCTATTTTTTGAAAGAAAATCACATAAAATTAGAAACTTATTTTAAGCGTTATTTCTTGTAATATATTCATTGGGAAGATAATAAATATGGTTTTTCATTGACATTTAATAATATACTATATTTATTGCATACGACGGAATGCATTTTAAGTAAATACAATGCTAGAAAATAATATGTTGGATATTGGCCAGAATTCATATTTTAATTAAAAATACCAATGACGTCAATTATAAGGGTAATTTGGATAAGAATATCTAAGTTATCTCAACAAGCCATTCACCTTTATCGTCGATTTCTTTAGGTGAAGGACGCCTCAATGGTAACGTAACTGTAGTATCTGCGTTTACGTCAAGAGATGACGGAATGTGTGACTTAATCGGAGTCTTTGGAACTGTTTCATTTGACCGAGCATCTTCAAGTAAAAACTGCAAAAATAAAAATACGTATAACTCGGATGTAACTAAAAATTACAATGCCATATAAATAAATGCAAAACACATAGGTACACTATTAAAAAAAAAACCCAAATCAATTAAACTCTAAAGCTTTTTCAATCAACACAAAACTAATATAATTCTAACAAGTTTGTTAATTCCTCCACACAGTAATGTCAACAAACCTTGCTGCCGTTTTCAACCCTAAGTCTCCAAGACGGCCTCCGTTCCAAACAGCTATCTGGCATATTAGACGGAATATTTCGGGACAATGGAGTAATCGTAGCCGTAACAGTTACATGTTCCTCTGTTTTAGCCTGACAAATTATTAAACTAGATAATAATTTCGTATAAACGTAAAGGATCTAGCAACTATTGATCAAAATAAAAATACAATATTTTCATATCTAAGTTTAACTTTTTGGTTATTATTTGATACTAAAATGATATTCTGATAAAAGTTTTTATTAGGAAAAGCAACAAGATTTTTTTATAATTCTGGTACGGCTCTAGTGGTCCCATTGTAGGTACATACGTCCTTATAATTTATAAGACATTATCAAATTCAATCCAAAGCATAAAAAAATGTATATAGAAGTAAGTCAGTTAATTGTAAGATGTTCAAAATCATGGATGACATAAAAATGGTAGAAAAAGTTTTGGATTTTTATAAAGCATGAGAAACTTTTCTTTTAATTTCTTAAAATCATGGACTCCTACTAGAAAAATACCTGGAGGTTTTTTTCATAGAATGAGACTTGGAATCTTAGTCCTCGACATTGACATTTTTTCTTAATAATATACATATATGTTAAAATTAAAATATAATAAGAGTAATAATTTTTTTTGTTTACAAATATTAAATATACATTTATCTTTCAATACCTAACTATCTATATAAAAGTTTACTTTCATTAAATGTCATTAAATCATTTCAAATCATATACATGGTTTTGATTTTTAAAAGAAAAGATAAAGAAACTCAACATTTTAATTATACATATATAAAATGTTTAAATAAAAATAGAACTTCTTAAAGTCATTAATATGAATATTGTCATAACTTTAATATACTTAAATGTACCTAACACAAATGTATACACACATTTTAATGAAATATTTTATAATAGTTATTATAATGTATATAGAATTTACTATAATACTTTGATAAATATGTACATATCAAATTAAAAATGGAATTGATTAAGTCATATTTATATATGGTTTTTATAAATTTTAATTCATCAATGGTTTTGAAAAGATTCCAAGGGAAAGAAGTAGGGTAGATCAGACTCATTTATGGGATATAATTATTATTGATTTTTAATTCATAAATAAATAAACAAATAATTTATACATAGAAATAAATAAATAAAAGCATGGAGTAATATTAAATTTATTAAGTCGTCCAGTTTAGATTTATGAAATTCATTGTCAGGTATATACTAAGTCTAGAGAGGGACTCTAGAGTTGTGATTTTTATTGACTTTGTATAAATATAAATACATTTTTAATTTAAACTCAACCATACTTTAAAAATACAATAATACACTAGGCTAAGCTTATATTTATTAATTAAATTATTTCTATACATAAATTACATGTACATTTTTTCATATATTAATTTGTCAGTATTAACCATTTGATAATTTTAAATTTTTATTTAATTTTTTTATTATTTTATGATTATTTAAATTTTATAATTAAAAATAAAAGTTTATAAAGGCTATATTATAGAATTTTAAGTATTACTTTTAATTATTAATTGATGTTTGATTAAACATATTTTTGAAATAATAAATTAGATAAAGAAAATACAAAAAAAGATAAAAAATACTTTAAAACAAATGTATAGATAAATAAGTATGTGTATATTTTTTAATAGCTGTATGATAAATAAAGTAGACTTGATATGCATTTTATTCAAATTAAATTAAAAATATAATGGTATCATAAGTAATCTACCATAATTTACATGATCTCCAATCAATTGTATGATAACATTAACTAAATTAAACTCTAAATGCACATGGTAAAAATAATAAAATAATGTTAATCAAGCGATCAATTTATTGTTTTAATTATAAAAGTAAATGATAAAAGTAATAATAATAAAAATATTTTTATTTTAAATTATATTTAATGTATTATATATTTTAACATAAATATAACATAAATCTTTTGATCATAAATTAATATTTAATTAAGTACATTTTAATAATTTGTATTTATTTGAATATATATATATTATATTAGTCTATACTTTTATAATGGAAAACTTATGATACCAGTGAGATATACGTAAATTGTGAATATTATGGTCTTTCGATTGCATAAGATATAATAGTTAATATACCTAATTAATATTTATCAAATTAATAAAACACAAATTTTGAAATTTTTCATTAAAAAAAAAAAAAAAAAAAATTATACTATATTTTTTTTATCGACTTTTCTCAACAAAATAATAACATCCTTAAATATAAATATACTCATAAAAATCAGTGTTTTAAATGAAATTATCTATATTTAGTATAATATAACATAGTGATACATACCATTTATATTTAGAATTCTCTTATTTTACCTACCTATTGTGGGTTAAAATAATTAGATCTGAATGAACAATTTTATATGATTCTATAATTAACATTGTAGATGTTCAACATATTTCTATTTGTAACAAAAATGGGTCATAATTATATTGAAATTCAAAACTTTCAATATTTTGGCAAACCTTCAAAACTTTTATTTTTGCACAAAATAAATCAGTTATCTATAAATGCATAAGGTTTAACAGCAATTAATTTTTAGTAAAAATAAATTTAAAATTAAGAGAAAAAATTAGGTATTTAAAGAATTAACTTCTTAACAAAATTATATTAAATAAATAACCGATAATATATACAACTGTAACTTTAGTACTTATAATGTACATGGTTCTATAAATAAATTATTTTAGAAAAGAAAAAAAATAAACAAATATTTTTAATTTAAATGTCTGTTATCGACGAAAAAAAAAACTGTAGACTTAATAAAAGTGACGAGAAGAGTACTTTAAATGAAAATAGATTTATTCATAAAACAATAAACCAAAATTAAAACATAATTAATTTAAATATTATGAAAAAATAGAATATCTATAGATAGATTAAATAGCAATACCACAATAACAAGAAATCTTACAATACTATCACTCCTTATTACAGTTGTAAGAGAAACTGTGATAATTACATAGGTCAAGAATTTTTTATTTTATAAATGATTTATTAAACGTAAAAAAAAATGTATTTTGTTTAGTACTGAAAAATAAATAAATACACTTTTAATATATTACCACGATAACATATAAAATATTTCTAATCATATTATTATAGTAAGTTTGATTTTTATTGTAATAAAATCGCCACAACACCTAATTATTTTAAAAATAATCTATAATTGAATACACAAATAATATTATGAATCTGATAACTCATCAGTATAATCTATTAAGTTTAGTTTATTGTATACAGTTTAGACAACCAGAATAATAAATTAAAGATTGCCAAGTATACTATTAAGGGTTTTAAATTATTTTATGAATAAAAGTTAATTATACTAAAATATTATAAACACATTCAGCAATAATAACACACTACACATTTATATATGTGTTTATTTCTGTTAGCTTACTTACAAAGGCATAAGCATCCAATATAAAAAAACTCATTACATACGAATAAAAAGTTTCAAATGGTATAAATATTAAATTAATGTGTGTATGAGTATACCATTTTTAGAAAATTTGAAAATATATTTAATTCTTAAATGTATATCATCTATAATATTCATTTTTTTTTTTTTTATTAGATGTTTATATTTATTGAGTTATAATAAAATATAAGTAAAAATAAATTGTTCTTCTTTTCTTATAAATTTATGAATAAAGGTACTTAGTTGTTTAATGAACAAGGAGGAAAATGTTTGTGAAATATTAAAAACCCATATTTAAAATAAACCAATACTTTAATAATAAGAGTAGATTAAAAAAATTATATATATATACACACATAAAAAAGGCCTGACAGTATTACTAGGGGTAAAACAACAATTTTGTAATCACCCCTTTCTTATAAAATTATATGCTCCTTGTAGATGCTACCTTGCCAGGATATCAGGTCGATTAAGTATTTAAGTACCAATAACTTATGCAACTACAGTGAAACCTTCTAGTAAAGGATATTTTATGAGACACAAACAATTTCTGTTATTAACTAATAAGAGGAATTTGTCATTGAGAATATAAAAGAGCAAAAAAATGTAAAAAAAATACTAATCATACTTAATTATGATATTTATTTTCATTTAATGTATTATAAATTATAATTAATATGTATTTCATTTATTTCAAATAAGTTATAAAGATAACTGAATAATATATCCCTACATAATATGAAATACTTTTTGATATTTATATCCAATTTTAAATGATGAAAAGTGATTATTTTATTTATGTCTGTTTAAAAGATAAAATAATAATATTTATATATATATATATATATATAAAATTGCCTATAATTTACACAAAAAATTAATAATAGGAAACAAATTAATTTTAATAAATAAATTAAACTAACTTGTGGTGTTTCAATATTGTTTGTAAAATTATTATTTGTTTCCACTTGATTGTTCAATTTTTTTCCAGTTTCCTGATTTTTTTGTTTAACAATTTGTTCAGCAGATTTGAGTTCTTCTAATGTAACACCTTGAGTAGAACGTCTAGTTTCTCGAACACGTTTAGCATGTGCTTTTCGTTGAGTTTCTGACTCATCATCTCTTACTGGAGGAACAAATGATCTAATAAAAGAAAAAAACTTATTTTAATATTATAAAGCCAGTTCTAAAATAATAAAAATAAAAAAAAGAAATTGAATAACTGTTAATATTAAGTAAACAATTATTAAATTAAATTCACATTACTAAATCACAAAACAAATGATATTTTGTTAGACAAATTAGTTAATATAAATATTACAAAACAAAACTTAAATCATTTTGAAAATTAATACATAAATCTTGGAATTCATTTCATAATCTAGTATATTTTACAAAACTACACATGAATTCAATGTTAAGATCATAGGCGTAAACTTGGGGTCAAGGGGGGAGGGAGCAATTTCCCCCTAGAAAAAATTAGGAGGGGCAATGCCCCCTCTGGTATTTAACATATCTTGTTTTATAATAAGTACAAAACAACTGATTATAGCTATTACTATAACATTTTTTTTTAAATCTTAAATTTTCACTTATCTAACATAATGTTAGAAAATGAATAATTTTATATAATAATATGTAGGTAGTAAAGCGGCATTTAGCCTCAGACACCCTTTTTGTTAGATATGTAATTATATTTTTGCCCCCCTAATAAATTTCCAAGTTATGCCTATGATTAAGAATAAATATTATATTTAAAAAATTATACTAATTTTAGGTTTATAATTTACACTCAATAAAATGCTTAGAATAACACCTTTAATGTCCTTATTAAATTTAAATCAATATCACTATACACAAACGAAAATGGAAAAGCTAGAGAAATGGTGTAATACATATATGATATTATTTAATATAAATTATTATCAATAATACAGAAAAATAAATTAGTTTTAGCAACAAATTATTGAATGTCTTAATAACTAAATCAAATATAATAATATATTATATCTAAATTCCAAGTGTCTATGTAGTTTAAAATGTCAATAAGCAGTTTTCTCAGAATCATGTTATTTAATAAATCAAAAAACTATTTCTATTTCAAGTACAAACTTGAAAAAGTTTTTAAAGATGTTTCCCGGTACTATCTTATGGGTTGTTTCTGATTGTTTCTGTTGCATTTGTAGACCACTGATAAATGCTTTGACACCACTATCAATATTAAACATGTTTTATTTCCACCATAATAATGCATATACAAATACAACTGAATTTCAACTTTTCATTGAGTAAATTTAAATAATATTTAAATTATAATGAGTATAGAATTCAATAACTATAATATAAGAGTTTATATAAAGCTTTAAATAAAACTCTACAGTTTGGTGCAAAATAGGCATTAATGAATGATAATGGTCTGGTCTTTTAAATTTGAAACCAATTTACAATTGCACTTGAAATATGATCCTGAGTAAAAGAGATTGGACCAATATTATATTTCTAAAGATGGTTGATATGGTGTATATATATATATATATATATATGTAGAACCAAATATTCTTAATAAGGTAGGTTGAACTTTTATATATATATATATATATATATATATATATAAAAGATTTAGGTAGGTAAATAAATTATATTAACATGTTTTTATATCCCTGTATTATCAACCATAATTGATTAAAATTTGAAAAAACAGCCCAAATGTCATAAAAATATTTTACAAACTATAACATTTCTTTAAAATGTTAACATAAAAAGACAGTAAATGTTTCAAGTTGCTACAATAAATATTTTACAACCAAATAACAAATATCATATAATTGAAATTCTATGAAGTATCCAATTTTGACAAAATTTATTTTTCTAACATTTTTAAAAAACACATGATATAATGATATATTTATTTTACAGATTCAAAGAAAAGCTTATGTAATATCTTACATTTAATGTCTAATCCATATGTATGAAAATTATGTTTTATGACAACAAAGTCAGATTTTAGTAATTATTTTTGTCTTATCAAAAATGTATAATCTTAATAAAATTTGTTTTGAAATTAAGTTAATTTTTTTTTCGTAAACCAGCAAAAATTTTATATGAAAAACTTTGTATAAGGTTTTCAAAATTTCAAATCGAAATATTTTTTTTGAAATTTATCAAAAAAAAAAAAAACTCAGAAAATATGACATTTTCAAACACCTATAAATACCTCAACAAATTCTAAATCTTTTGAAAATTATACTATTAGAAGTTAACAATAATATAAGCATTCCGTGAAAATCTCAAGACTTTACAATAACTATATTTTAAGTTATGGGAGTAAAAATTGTATTTTGTCAAAAACCAGTATGCTGTAAATTTAGCATGTATTTATAATTTATTTGGCAATTATTAATAACTATTATTGATTAACTATTGAGAAATAAGTAAAATAACTCCTTCTAAAGTACCAACTAGACAACAATTTTTAATAGAAAACTTCAATGATATTGATGATTAAAAGAATAAAAATTAAATAAAAATGAATCAGCTTCATTCAGAATTTAAAATACACCAGTTTCAATAAAAATTTTGTCAGTAAATCCAAATAGTAATATAAAATATTAAAGTTCAAGGTCTTACTGAAAATACAAACTTTTTAAGTAATTAATTAATATACATGTTTATTTTCGTAGTTTCGGAAATCTAATATAAGTAATTAACTAAAAATATTCAACAGAATATAATGATAAAATAAATGTTATACAGTTTTGGAGTAGTTAAAAATCAGAACTTGTTTTTAATAGGAGCTTTATAAACTAAAACAATCTATATCAAAATTAATGTTTGATAATTGATTCTTTTCAAATATTATATATATTATAATTGATCTTCAAGTATTTGATCACAATTATTTATAAGGCAAACAATTAAATAAAAATAATTTTAAGACATTTAAAAATTAAAATTCTTGGTTTGAAATAAAAATTGGATCCAGAAGTCCATATACAAATTATGTATAGAATTAACGTATAAAGTTGTCTGTCATGTTTTGATAATAGGATGTAAAAATGTATGTTTGAACAACCATTATTAATTTTAACGTCATCTTATTTTCTCTACTGTAGTTTAAAAATTATTATTTTCAAATTAGCTATTTAAAATAAATGTCTGATAAATGTGTAAGATCGAATATTGTTTTACTCTATGTTGTCATTGAGAAAAACTAATTTACAAAATTACCAAAATCACATTTTATACCAACTAATATTTTTAAAAAAATACTTCAAATATACTTGTTTCTTTATGCTACTAATGAAATATTATACTAATAAAATATTATCTTTATTCATTTGAGATGTAAATCAAATTGTTGTCATTCCATAAATTTAAATACTATTCTCTTCAAGTGCAATATAGCCTCCAATACATTTAATATCATTGAATATTATTAATTTTTATTATTTCTCAAATGAAAAATATTCATAAATATAAAGTACTATGAATATTGTAATAATGATCATAATTTTAAATTAAATACCTTTACGAGAAATATAATAATATTTCATTAGATGTATAACCAATATTAAATTTATTATTAAAGAAGTATCTATTTTAATAAAATTGTATATAATTTTAATCCTAAGCTAATAGAATGATAATAAATATATATATTTATTTATTTTTTAATTAAATTACCTGCGAATATTTTGCGGCGGATGTGTAGCATCATTTGAATTGACACTGCTCTGAGCAGTTGCTAAATTGGTTTGATCATCTCTAAAATTACTTTTGTTCCGCCTAAAAACATACACAATTCATTAAAAATATTTAATAACATTTTTTAGGTACATAAATATATTAATTATTTGAAAGCTCAAAACATTGATGTTTTTTATTTACATTACCTAGAAAGAGGCTTTTCCTTTAAAGAAGCTGTTCTCATAGGAGGTGAAGCACTTGCTGTAGAAGGTGAAGGATGTATAACTCCCCATAAATTACCTTTAATTTTAGCACGTAGCTCACAATAGCGTCGATAAAATCTGCTTAATAAAACACACAAGCGTGCAAACAAGACAATAAAAATAATGTTAATTCACACATTTTAAATTTAAACTCGAAACTTAAATATATTTACATTATAAATGTTTGATAAATATTAAGATTGGGTTACTGTAACATGAATTTCCAACTATATCAAAAAATGTTTATCATAACATTTTGGTTATTTCAAAATAAAATTTGGTTTAATAGAATTAATAATGTACGGGTATATTTCACATAAAACAAATATATATCATATATAACTATTAATAAATATTATATATTAAATTAACATTAATCCTTGAAATGTTTAACCATTATTTTATTTATTTACTTGAAGGCATTAAACTGTATTTTCTTTATTTAGCAGTTAACAAATAAATTATAAAAGATTAACCAAATGGCAATTGGCCGAGGAAGAAGACATTGATTTAAAATTGTTAGAGGATAGATCTAAAAACTGATTATTAGAATGAATCTGAGGGGAAAAAATAAGGGAGTCGTAGGATTGCTCGTAAAAAGGGAGTTTAGTAGAATTAATAATATATTGGTGGAAATTTGACATAGAATGAGCTATAGTTGATAACACAGGCACAGATTTAGGAACATATCGCCAATTAAGATACATTTAGTAATAAATGTCAAAAATAAGGTGATCACTATAGGATAATAATTTCGAGAGAAATTTGCCGGCAAGCCAGAGGCATCTGATATTAAATGGTGGGCAAGTAGATTTAACTTCCATAGCAGAGCAAGAAGTAGAACTAATGTAACCCATAATGGTTCTGATGCATGAGGTTTAGAGTTTGTTAATTTTTTTCCAATTAGAAAAGGAAGTTGACTCAAAAAGGAAGCAACCATAATCAAGTTTGGAATGTATAATAAACAAATATATAGATAATATACTTATCCCATATTCGATTTGACTGCCCTGCCCTTCAAACCAAACATTTTATTTTAAATAACATACTTAACACTTTTAATATCTTCCTTAATATCTACTCCACACTCAACAAAAAATCCACTATCGCTATTAAATCAATAATTTCCTTTATATTGGATGCTGGCTTTGTTATATATTAAAATGTAATGTATTATGTTGTATTATGTTGTATTATGTATAATTTGTAAATGTTGAGCTATCATAATTAAATACTAATAGCTAATAAAAATAAAAAAACCAAATGGCAAAAAATATATAACTAGGCTCAGGGACTTATAGCTCTATAAAATACATAAATATGCATGCGAATTGCTTCTAAAATCATTGTATAATAATATGTATTTATATGCATAAAAAAAAAAAAAAATGACCACATAGTACACAAAATAAAATGTATCCATCGCAGGTTAGGGGCGTATTTTAGGGGGAGGCGGAAGGGGCGATTACCCCCCCCCCTGAATCTATATTTAATGAATCAATTATATGTGAGATATACATTTCAAATTTTTTTTAATGTGGATCATTTTATAATGAAATCAAATTACACGTAGCTGTGAATATTGAATTGAGCTTTTTGTCAGGTCCATACTTAGTGAAAAAGATATCATGACACTGAGAAACAAATTTATTTTGCACTCTGCTATATTTAACATTAATTAAAAAAAGTATGCGAGTGGTAGTAGTCCCTAAGCCTATATATAACCAAGTGTTAATTATTTAAAAAAAAAATAAATAAAATAAGCAACAATAAATTTAAAATATAAAAATGTATTTTTTTCGATTTAATTATGATATTTTTTATTTACATTTATTTATTCGTAAGAAATTTATTAATACTCTAATTTGTAAGTAAATACATGTAAGAAACAAATTATAACTGTTTAAAACTATGAAACTGCATTAAGATATGCATGATATGCATTCATCTTTAAATGGTTAAGGGATTAAAATATAGAATTTTAGTTGTAAAAATTATTGTTAAGTCTAATTAATTAGCAATAGAAAAATAAACTTCAAAAACTACAGAACTAATTAATTATTTAAAAAAAAAAAAATAAATAAATAATAGAATACACTAGTGCTTATTTCAATTGCGATCTAAATTTGACTTGTGCATTTATGGTAAAATCTATTTTTATCTATCACTATGTTCAAATGTGACTTTTTTTTCATTGTTTTTATTATATATTTTTACCACAGGTAACATGCAATATATTTAAATTAAAAATAAAACAACGTGCTTTAGATTATATTTATGAAAATAATCCACACTAGAATAAATATTTAAAATTGATTGTAAAACTACTAACTTTTCATCAGACTCAAAACTTTGTGTTCTACGTAAAACAACCTCAGGAGGCTTTAATTCATTATTGTCTGATGATGGAGCAGTAGGTTGTTTAAATTCTTTAGTTTCATTTCCTATTAATATTAAAAATATTTAAATTTCAATAAAGAACACAATGTCAAGTATATTTACCAATAGTATTCTCAGTTTTAAGTTGCTCAATAGGTGCAAGTTCAATTTCCACTTTTTGTTTTTTTGTGGAATCGTCCTTAATTTTAATATCATCTTCTTCCTCTTTGATTACTCGATTTCGATCTAAAACTATTTCTTTGTCTTTCTTCAATGTTGATTTATCATTGCCGGATAGCCTGCTGATTGAAGATCTACATTGATTTTGTGACACAGAAGAAAGCATCCAACAGGAATACAGAAACAAAACACATAAAAAACATGCAATCAAGCAAAGAATAATAAAAAGCAGTAAAAAATAAATACAAGGTAGAAGAACAAACCTAATCATCAGTTTAAAATAATAAAAAAGCATAAAAAAAAAAAAACACAAACATCTACATAACTAACCTTCTTTTTTGAGAATTCGGTAATTTATTACTTATTAAATAGTTTTTATCTGATGCATCTTTATTTTGAGATGCTTGTTTTTTCTTTAATTCATCCAGAAAATCTTTCATTTCTTCGTCAGACACATCAAATGCTGTCTGACCCTATGATAAATATAAAATATAACAGAGCTGGTAACATAAATGTTAAAAATTAAGTACCACAAAGTTTTTCTTTTTCATATCACAGAAATTTTCAATTAATATTTCACAAGCTTCTTTTTGACCCCAATATGATGCTGCATGTAATGGTGTCCAACCATCGTAATCTTGACAATCAACATCAGCACCTGATTGAATAAGGAGTCTAAAAAAAAGATAATTAATTTAAAAATTACCTTTATTATGTTAATAATTGTTTTAAGTTATTACTCTAAGACTTTGATATATCCTTTGGCAGAAGCTACATGTATTGCCATTGCTCCAGTAGTTGGATGAGGAGAGTCTTTAAATTTTCCAGTATTGATCCATTCCCTTGCATCTTTTAGCATCAATCTTTCTTCTTTATTTCTTGCTTCATCACAATCAATACCTTACAAGCAAATATATTTAAAATATAATACATGCAACATTAATTTTTTTTTTCAATTTTTTAATTTACCAATATCTCTTAAATGTTGTTCTAAAAGTTGTCTCATATCATCAGATTCTGCAATATCAATTGCCAATTCTTGATCACAATTAATTGCAGATACATCTGCTCCGTGTTCTAATAAATATCTATTGAAAAAAAAATTCTTAATACTAATCATTGATATTAATAATTATATAATTAAATTTAATAACTATAATAAATTCATTGTAGTTAATAAAATACTAACAATTGTAAATTATTAAAAATAATAAAATTAAAATTATAAAATGGTTAACAATCAAAAATAATATAAAATTAAATAAATGCTCAGCCTGGAGTATTATTATATTTTTAAAGTATAAATTATACTATTAAAAATAATTAGATGTATAATACAATTTGTATATTTTTATTAATTTTCTTTGATATTAAGAAAATCAATCATAGACACTTGATAAACAGAAATAAATGTATTTTAATTTTTAATACAAGATAATGAATATACACATATATTATAATTTATAAGTATACAATTCGAATGTAGAAAAATAATTAAAAGTATCAGTATTAATAGACAGTTAAAACATTAAGTTATTCAAAGTGAACAAAAATCGTTAATATGAAATAATTTCAATGCATTATTCAGATTTTTTTTTAAGAATATTTCAGATTTTAGACAATATTCTTACTTATAAATATAATTCAAATACACACTACTTTCAAACACAATTTTTCAACCGAATTTCTGACAATTTTTTAAAATTTAAAATCACAAAAAAAAAAACGTAAAAATAGTATTAAATGTATATTATAAATTATTTTTCAATATATACTTAGATCATAAATTTCTTTTTAATTTGATTACTTATTTTTAAATGCATTGAAAATATAAAAGTATAATGTACTTTCATTTAAGTGCATACAAATTCAAGTCCTAATAATAAATATTAAGGGCAATTTTTATTTCTTTTTTAAAAAATGCAAGCCATCAACTCTTAATTGTTTAAACCAACAAGTAAATTCACTTATACCCAAGACATTTTCATAAATTAACCTATTAAGTTTCTTGTTTAAAATATAATTCTAAAATCTATATTATAAGCTGTTTAAAATATAGTTGCTGAGCCAGCTGGCAAAGTCTACACACACACCACAGAATTGAACCTAACAGTAGCAGCAGTCCCATTTTTAAATCGGATTGTGAAGAGCTGTCTAAAAATAACTATGACTGATGGCCTGCAAGTGGTTAATTTGCCATTTGAATATTGAAAAACTACAATGCAAATATTTTACACATTTAATAATCTAGAGGTTCAAGCTTTTTAAAAAAAATATAGGCATTTATCAATGGTTCTTAAGCTGTGTGACACACCTCCCTAGGGAGGTGCAAGGCAAATATTTATATTGTACATTGTGTTTTTAGTTTAATTTATAATTTGACAGTAATTTGCTTTTAATAAAATAATAAAAAAAAAATGTTTTTTTATTTATTCATGGGAGGCAGGATTAAATTTTTTTTTATTTTAGGGATGTGTGAACCCAAAAAAAAGTTTGGGAACCACTGGCATGTACAAATGCTTATAAATGTATAACCCATAGTTTTTAGTTTTTATAGAAAAATCTATTAAAATATTTTGATTTCTGGTGATTACTAACTTTGCAATGCTAACAAATCCACAAGAAGTTGTTGCATGCAATGGTGTCCATCCTTCTTTATCACCTCTATTCACATCAGCACCATGTTCAACCAAAAATTCAACCATGTCTAGATTATCATCGATACAAGCCTAAAATAAAATTCAAAGGTTATAAAAATAAACATATACAATATAGAATTATCAATAACTATATATATATATACAAAAAACAAACAAGTAAACAACAAATAGTATCTTCAATGATTTAAATTATAAAAATAAAAAGATTTTTTATAGTTAGGTAAATAATTAATATTTATTCATAAAAAATGATTTAATACATTTTCAAACTAAAATGATTATGAAATCCAAGAATAAACAGGTAATTATTTAATTTATACATCTTTATAGTTTTAATTGGTAAATTTGATTTTTTTAATATTTACCATATTAAATGTAAGAAGCTTTTTTAAAATCATATAATATTTCTTATCTATTAATTATTCATTCAAAATATTGTTATTTTATTTGTTTTTTTAATTTTATAAATATAAATACAATAATTTAGTGAATTGTTGAAAGTATTTATAAAATTAGAAAAAATATAAATTAATCTATAATTAATTATATTACTTTTTATTATTAATTATACTGATAAATCAATCATAAAAATTATACAATAGATATTTCATATTTTAGCTTTGCTTGGTTATCAAATAATTAAATCACTAATTAATATCTAGCTAAGTCATATTAAAATTAAAATATCCTTTTTTAACCTACATAATACAGTTTAAACATGTTCAGTGATGTATAAAGTTACTTGACATTTCCAAATGGAGCAAGAATGAAAATCTAATTAGGTAGGTGTAGGTCAATGTTGTGCCCATAAATGGACAAAGTAACATCAGATAAGAATTAAAATAAAATAGGTATAAATACATTATATGATTTGACATTATGACCATAAAATCAATACTAAAAACTATAAAAAAAGTTTTATATATGAATTAATAATTACTAATCTTTAATTAAACATCATATTTAAACAATTATTAAGCTACATAGATTTATGAAAATGTTTATTTTTTTGTTTTTAATCAAATGTATTACCTAATAATTAACTAATGTATACTAAATAATTATTGATAAAAGAGGAATTTGAAATGTTGATCGATATTATTTCACACCAGAAAATGTATTATGGATAGCTAATAATTACTAAGCCCTGATATGTCTCTTAAAATAAACAGAACTAAGCCAACGTAATGATTATTTTAATAAACATAAATAAATATATACTGATTAACAGTTTTCAAAAATGACTGTACAATTATTGGTAACACTTTTAGACTGATTGTGCAAGTCATGACAGTAGTTAATTGTCCTATTTTTAAAAGAAAAACTCATTTATATTCCATTCATGAGTAATTTTTTAGGCTACATATTTATTTCCAATGGAAGACAATAAATTAATAACAAATAGCAAATTTAAAAACAAATAAGAAATATCAAAATAGTTCAATATTGACAATTCTATATAAATTCCACTTTAATGAAAAACAAATATATTAAAATTTCAAAATAATATATATTTAAAAAATGTTTAGTAAAAGCATTATTTTAACAATGTTATAATAGCATAATTCAGATTAAATATATAACCTAACTTTTAATTAATTAATGAACAAATTTTAATTAGCAATTATCAAAGTTTCAACATATTTTAATTATTAAGTAAACATTAGTGACAAGATTGATACACAGGGAAACTTCTAAACATAGCAACACTGATTCATATGGTATCCAACCTAATATTTAAATCAACTAGTTTTCCTTAGATCGGTGAAAAAAGTAAACAGATATTGTAAGAAGAGTACAATTAGAAGTATTGGGAAGTTTGATTTTTGAATACACAGTATTAAAAACACCTACTAATGGCTACACAATGCAAACCAACATATATTGAAATGGAAAGACAGCAGTTCCTACCTGATGCAGAGCTGTAAGCCCATCAGCATTGGCAGCATTGATGTCAGCAGCTAGGTACAGGAGGCTGTTCACCTCGTTCTTGTCGCCAGATGACACAGAAGCCAGGAAGGCGCAGTCTATGGGGAATGAGACAGCCTTGATGTTCTTGCGTACAGGGGACTCTCGGTTGGTGTCCGACTCTTCCCATCGTTTCAGCTGTTCGGCTCTCTTAAACAGGGCTGACATGACGAAACCGATAACCAGATACGAGTCCGTACGTCCAGCAAGAGACGACCAAACAACTACCGTGGACGACAATTAATAGAGACGGGGTGGCACCGGAAGGTCGAGATCACGCGACAGAGGCCGCACGACGACCTGGCAGCCGCGAGATTTCCGCGGCCAACATATTTTCCAGCAGCAGCAACAGCAGCAGCAGCCGAACACAACAATGTCACCGCGGAAGACGGCCCCGGCGGGCTTTTCGCGCGGATCGGACGACAGTTCAGAATTGTTGGGTCACATCAGCCGGTCGACCGTTTCAACACAAATTTAACGGAACGGCACGTACGTAACGGATAACGCGAAGAGAAGACACTACTTGCTCGTCGCTGTCGCACACCTCCTGCGGTGGAAGGATGGTGATGGCCATTATCAGTGGAAAAAAAAAACACGCACACACACGCAAACGCACGCGCACACACACACACACACAAGCGGGTGCGGACACACGGACGCGCAAGAACACGGAAAACGAAGTGGTAAAAAATTAGTAGGAAAAAAAAATAGGTATCGCGAACAGTGTTGCCGTACCCGAAAAACAATATTGTCGTGGTCGTCCGTCCGTTTTTACGTTACCGGAGTTACGGTGCACGGAATTTTCGCGCTCCGAAAGTCTGTCACGGTCGTGTGCATTTTACATCCTGTCTCTGATCTAGTACTGCGTTGACCCGTGAACGAAATGTTCGCATTCCCGTGATGACACTTCTTTTTTAGGTTGTTTTTAAAATTCTTACGTTCAATTTTATTAGGGGCGGATCCAGACCATGAAGGTGATTTTTAATATTCAAAGGGCACACTTTAAGATAATGTGAACACGTTACCCGATTTCTGTTCCACGTATTAAAATATATTTTAATAATTTTAACTAATGATGGATTTAAATAATTTTAAATGTATACAACTTTAAGTATAATTTGATGCTAAAAATGTTTTTGTTTTTTATTTAACTTAACAATTGTACAGGAACTTGAAGACTTGAATAAAGAATATAGATAGATGTTACAATTATAGATCAATTATAGATGCAGTTCAAATTTATTTAGAATACTACAAGGTAGATTGATATGATTCATGAATCCACCTTGGTACTGCCTATGATCTGGCTTTGAAGTTATGTATATATATTTATAGTATCATCATGTGGCTTCATAACTCTGTAAGAGTTTTTGCCACTTCTGTCTATGCTCTCCAACTTCCGCGATCCTAGACCAACTCTTCCCAGTTCGTAATTTCTAACCTTTCTAAGTCTTGTTTTACCCCATCTATCCAACGTTTTTTTTTGCCTCTCCCTTGGTTGCCAATCCATAGTTTCTCTAATTTTGCTTGTTGCTTCTCTCCGTTTGACATGCCCGAACCATTTTAACCTATATCCTTTTATACAGATATAATTTTTTTTTTTTTAAACAAATTAGTGCCTGCATGACGTTCAAATCAATTGATTATTTTCAGTAACATACGGTATATTGAATAAGATACACGCACGCAGTTTAAATCTTATTATTTTTTAAATAACCAGTAAATTAGTTTTTTTTTGTGCTTTTGTACAGTTACTATGGACAAATTATGAAATAAATAATCAATGACTGAAAGTTCTGCGAAAACTGAAGGAATAGAGATAATATCTGTGTCAATGGTTAAAAAAAGAAAATTGAAGATGAGCTTATAAATAGTTCTTTGCAGTCAAAAAAAAAAATATATATATATATAAAAGAAAATATTGCTCTAAATATTTGAAATTTGGATTTTCGTGGAACGAAGACTAAGAACATTCACCATCTCAATATGTTATTTATGGTTATATACTTGCAAATGAGAGTATGCGACCGAACACATTACATCGACATATAGATACGAATTACCCAGAAATGAAAGATAAACCACTCGAGTTTTGTGAAAAAAAATTAGTCTCTAAAAACTTCAAAACACAAAACATTTTTAATTTTACCGATATTAACCAAAAAGTTACATACGCCTCGTATAAAATAAGTAACGAATTATTCAAACAGGTAAGCCTCACACAGTTGGTAAATCTTTAATTTTACCTGCAATAAAAGATGTAGTCAGGGTCATGTTTAATGAAAAACGTTTAACAGTAGTTGAAAAGTTATTACTCTCAAATAACACAGTGTCACGTTGAATTAACGAAATTTCTCAATGGGTAGAAGATAAAATGGTTGAAAGAGTTAATTTGAGTAAATAGTTCTTATTACAATTAAACGAGTCCACAGATATTCAAGGCTTATTATCAAAGCTATTATCATTTATTGAAATATTTTACTTCTTCCAAATTTTAATTGGTTATAGTTTAATAGTATGGAGTACCCATTTTAATGCCATATTTACTTACCCAAGGGCGTACCCAAGGGTGGGATTTCGAGTCCGGACCCCCCCTAGAAATTTCTACATACTCAACTTAATAGTAAATAATGTAATAATAGTATATAGTGTATTTTAATTTCCCATTATCAGATAAAATAAAAATTTTGGAACCTCCTATAAAAAATTCCTGAGTACGCTCCTGACTTACCAACCAATGGATGCCAATTTTTCTGTAAATATTTGAACAATTAAAGTCCAACCAACTATATTAAAAAATTTTCTTTTATTACTATATCAATCGTTTCTAGATGTATAAACTTATCCATTCTACCTTAACAATATTTTTTAAGTATACGATTTGTTTTATTAAAAACGCCTTTTACTAGTTTATCTATAATACAATTAAAATGTAACTTTATTTTTTATGTTAAAAATTTAAAATATTAACTGTTTAATCATGTTTAATCATTATCCGAGTCTAATGTATCAGATGTAATAATATAATACTATTTCTTTCAAATTATTTTTAATCAAATTTACTATACCTACCTGAAAGCTTAATCACAGAAAAATAAAAACAAAAAATACATTCCTCTCTTGGTCCAGAATCTAAAAATAAATCAAAACATTCACAACGAGTGGAAAAAATACACCGCATTCTTTACAGTGGTTCCGAGTTTTGATCTAATTCCGGGACTTCACACTCAACCAAAATTTATAAACTCGTATTTATAATAGCCTTAATATTTCAGTTAAAATCATAAACTAAGCAGTGCTCAAATTTTTAAAATGCTTGAAAAATTTAAGAAGCTCTATAAGAATTAAATTTTATATAATTAATCACCTATTAAATTAGTTAGGTTCGTGTTAAATAAAAACTTTTACCTGTAATTATTTGTGAATTTGTGTTATTCAACCTAACAGCTACACCTATTTTAATTTCTATGATAAGTAAATACCTAGTAGTTATCACTTTTAGGCTTATTAAGAAGTTGTCAATAAAATAAGTTTTTTCTAATTATTCACTTAATTTTGTTTAAATTTTAATATTTTAGAATTCATAAAATAAAAGATAACCTATTGGTATACTTAGAGTCGGGTAAAATATAGAAGTCCTAAGACCTAGAAAAGGTGAATGGTCGTTGATATAGGTGAGTGATATTTATACATTTTAAATCAATGTAAAATTGGTTTTGAAAAACGATTCCGAATGAAGAAGATCGTATGAATCTACATATATACCTATATCTAAAAATAGTCTATATTAGTATATATATATATATATATATCAAATAATTTCGTACTCTGGGTGGTGATTAAACCAACTTTTAAGAAAAATAAAAATACTACATTTTTTACTTTTATAATTGTATATTTCATTTTTTAGATCATATTAGCGTTATCCAGTTTAGTATTAATATTTTAATATTAATAATTTATTAATATAATAATATTTTATTTTCTTTTATCATATTATATTAAAATATATGGTATTTCATTACAAAAGTACTATTAAAATTTTATTTTATTTATTTACTTATCTAAAATTTTTTTTCTGACAAAAAGTGGACCGATGTCATATTATAATTCCTTATATCATTATGAACTTTAAACTCATTGTACTTTTTTTTAAAATATAGATACTCAGGGTTATCTGAATCCTCTTTTCTTATAATAATTGTTATGGTTTTTTTTATATTGCATATTTTTAAATAAGTTTCTTCTTGAATTTCCATCAACGTATTTATTGCAATAAAACAATATGGATGGCTTGTATAAAACTAACGAAAGTCTCTAGAATATAATTCATAAATGTTTCAGTTACGTGAACAGGTGCAACTAATATTAGAGTTACAAAATCATTGCTTTCCTCAATGGGCAATATACCTCTAAAATCAAAAAAACTTTGAAGCCAATTGTATACATCGGTATTTTCCATGTAATTGAATATAATAGTATAATACTACTATTACTACTACTATATAATAGTAGTCGCGATAATATTAATGGTCTGAAGACTACCTAAATATCAAGCACTAAATGAGTATACCACTATTGTAGATCACGTGTTTATGATGTGTACTCAAACGTTTCATGATTTACCAAGTAAAATTATAAAATACCTTTTATTTTATGTTTCCAAATGTTGTGTCTATTTGTATTCAAATGTGTTGACTTTTGGGTAAATATTCTGCGCTTATTTCAACTCTAGCTTTTTTTCTTTCAGTTTATCAATCCGAAGATTGGTTTTTAACAAATTTTTCACAGTTAATGTCCTCAATTATATACTCTAGCTATCTGTTCATTTTATGAGTGATGGAAGACTTGATTATATATTCAATACTCTGTTTTCTAATTATGGGTATAATTCCGAGCTTAAAAAATGACCAAATTCACTTCATTTGTAGAAAAGATATTATTATTATCGATGAGAAAAGGGATTTTTTTTTAAATTAAGTTAATTCTAACTTAATTAATTTTTATACTAATAATTTAATTTAATGAAGTTAAAAAATATATTGGTTAAATTTTAACTTAAAAACTTACTTTTTTTTTAGATTAACTTAATTATAAAATCTTTATCTTTCCTAGCCGTGTTATATATTTACTACCAAATAAAATTTAAAATAGTAAAATTCAAAAGACAAAAAAATATTTTAATATTTAAAAAACAATAATTGTTATCATTGAGAAATTTATAAATATTTCAAATCTCTACAGTAATTATTTTTTTAGAAAAAAAATTAAATTTTATCGAAAACCAGTGTCCCGTAATGTCGCTATTTTTTTGTAATTTTCGTCAGTTCAACTTAATTATTCGAAAAATTGTAAAGAGATTCAAAAAAACCTCTTTAATGCATCAAAAATATAAAATTTATTATCAGAAATAACTAAATTGTGATAACAAATCTTATTCCAAATAAGAACTGTTGATATTAGGAGCCAAATTTTTAAATCTTGAATTATAGATTCTTATAAATTAGTAAATGAAAACAAATGTATGTATCGCGTATAGAGTATAAAATAAAAAAAAAATAGGCACGCTAGAAATGTTCGAAAATAGTCGAAGCAGGTACCTACTCGTTCTCCTTTTCACTCTAACACTGATATCATATCACGCCAAATTAATTTAAATCATTTAT